CTCAGAACCTGGATTGGATCCGGCGCTAATGGTGAACAGGACAGAAGAATCAAGAAGAATCAGAGATAATAATAATAAAGGAAACATTTTCAAAGATTTGTACGTTCGCCTCTTTAAAATAATCGATAAATCTGGGGTTTGTGCACAGTCAAAATTTAGACGAAAATAAATCAGACCATTAGGTACCTTCGCAGTTGACTCCAGAATATCCCGCACCACATTTGCAGCTATACGAATTATCCTGGGTTTCTGCACAGACTCCTCCATTCTGACAAGGATTCTTGGCACATGAGCTGACTACAGTGGAACAAAAAACTCAAAGTTTACTTTAATTTTGATTTAGTATTGTTAAAATAAGTATGCCATATAAGATCAATTTTGGCAAGAATTTGGTCAGCCGTCGCAAAAGAACTCATTTGGTGCCAAAGCACTTTGTAAATAGACCAACACCAATTGGCCCAAATATGTAATTATTTATCACCACTTATCATCGAAGCCAATAAATCTTCTATTTAAAAAAGGAATCTTGAGGTTGATGGTACAAAGCGTCTTTGGTGAGTATTAAGACGCTTTCTCTCTTGAAGCGGTCCGTTGCATTTATTTTTGCAAAAGTTTGAAAACTCAAGATGGTTTTGATTACGTCTAGACTGAAAATGATTCATGGGTAAAGTTTGAAAGAAACTAATTTTTCGAACTAAAATGCACCTGACCGCTTTGAAAGAGACTCCGTCTTAAAACTCGCTACTGTCTGTTTCTTAGCCGGAATTGTTCTTTTCATGCCACCTACCAATAGCACTGATTTTATTAACGAGGATTTATATTCGGACCAAACGGAAACACCTGGTTGTTTCAAATATGCAACTTATCATTGAAGCTAATGACTCGTATTTTACAAAAAAAAAAAAAAAAAAAAAGAGAATTAAACTCGTTACTTTTTATTACTTACTGCAGTTAGCCCAGGATCCACTGTAAGTAGCAGTGAGTGAACACCATAACCTGTGCCAAGGGTCCATAGTACAAGAGTTGTAGGTCTTTCCATTATAGGTGAAAGGAAAAACACAGCAGGCACCTCTCGCATTGTCTGTCTTTTTTCCGGTTGAACATGGCAGCTCTGTGGAAAAACAGGAAATCATTCTGCTTAATCTCCTCGCTATGTTTTGGCAGACAAGGAAGCAAAAATAAGTGTGACAATTAGTGGTTATCATACCGCGATGTCGCTAATCTGTTTTAGTAAGAAATGAAGTATTGAGAGTTTTGAGTTAGTCTTGCATTGCAGAAATAGTTCATTGGACCCGTCAGAGTACACGTAGCACTATTTCAAGAAGATCAGATTTAAAAAGGCTTAATTAAGCAATGGAACACATTTCTTGGTTCTATAACGTGATAAAACTATTTGGGATGTTGGTAAACACGAAAAAAGCTCAAAAATTACGAACCTTCGGCTCGTGATTTGTAAGCTTTCCTGGTGTTCTTCTAACATCCCAAGTGGCTTTATCACGTTAGAAAGGCGGAAAAAAATTGCACTCCATTGCTTTTATGACACAGTACATAAATAGTTACATGCGGGCTCTCCAATCTGACAAAGCATCCGCTTGGAAACTGAATTCACCAATCAGACGATATGCACTATGTCCATTATGTTATAATATGAATTAGTATATTAAGGGAAGAAACATGTCCAATAATGTACGAAGTTGTTCAGATATAGTTTACAACATCTATGCCTGTACTTTTTTCACAATTTTCTCCAAAATATCCAACGGCACATTCGCAACTACGCGAATTGTTTCCAGTTTCGGTGCAGATTCCTCCATTTTGACAAAAATCATAACAATTATTGCTTCTGTTTGTAGCTGATAAATTGTTGCCCTGATCTCATGGTATTCTCACAAATGCGATATGCATTAGACGCGTTTCTTGCACAAAAATGAAAGGCTCCAAACTTACAGTTCCACCAGCTGGGTATTGTTACTGAAAATTTCTGATGGTAATTTCTTCAACTTGTTGTAACTCAAGTCCCTGCCAAAAATAAATGAAATGTAGGATCAATTGCATGGTATTCGACAACAAAGTTCAGAAATAAAGTATGCTTGAAAAAGTTGTATTTTTTTAACCTACTGTCATAAGGGACTAAAGTATGCACGTTATCAAACTAATGTTGTCCAAGAAGTCTTGTTTTCTTTTTGGTTTGACATCTAAAGTCCCCGGAGAGGATAAAAAANGTCATGCATTTACCTATTTCACAACTCTCTCCTGAATAACCCCCAACACATTTGCAGTTGTACGTGTCGTTTTTAGTTTCTGTACAGACCCCTCCATTTAGACAAGGGTTCTTGCTGCATGGACCGACTGCAGTGGAACAAGAAAAGCACTTAATTCAACTATTTGAGATCAATATCAGCAGGCCTAACGATAGCATTGATTACGTTACTGAGGATTTTAAGTTAGATGTAATAGACAAGATCTGGTTGCTCCAAATATGCAATTGCTGTATCTCTTCTTATAATTCAAGATCATAAGTTGTATTTTAAAAGGAATATAATTGATAATGGTTATGGGATCGAGTGGAGTCCAATACCGTCTGTAATCAACCGGGTGATAAACAAAATAGGACAACCAGGAAGAAGGAGTCATTTTTTTAATCATGCAGAGCATGATTACAGAAAGAATTGGACGACACGAAGCCCTGCTACCAATTAATTGAAACTCCTAAAAAATTCGAGAAAGAAACTGGAGAACGGCTATACGTTTTCAGAAAAAAAGCAACAGACTCGGCGAAATGCGCGACAACAGTGCGTGCAAATCAAGCGTTTTGTCCACCTACATAGATATGACGTGTTAACTGTCCTTTTAACTTTTGAATGTCTTATTACCCAGTCCAGTAACAAGCATGACGCATACATTGTCCTAATAGTAATCAAATAGGGCTGGTGATATCTAGTCACCTTCGATAATTTTGATAAAGATCAGATTATAGGTTTAATAGTACAAAAGAAGAGATGTGTTTGGTTTTTTGGGCGCACAGTTATACCCGCAAATTTCTGTTCCTTACCGCAGTTAGCCCAAGATCGACTGTAACCTGCCCTAAGTGTACACCACAATCGGCTATGATCGGCCATGGTACAAGCGTTGTAGGTCTTTCCTCCATAGAGAAAAGGAAAAACACAGCAGGCACCCTGCGGATTGTCGGTTTTTCTGCCAGGAAGACATGGCAGCTCTGTGGCAGAACAAAAAAAAATTGAGAGTGGAATAGGGAGGACGATTACTAGTACATGGGTGTCATAAATAGGGTTTTACGCTTTAAAAATTAAAGAATGAATTATCGAAAATATTGAGTTAGTCTTCCATTCTTCAAATGGCTCGTCCAACCGTCTAGAGCTAACATAGCACTATTTTAAGAAGATCATGATTCAAAGGCTGTTAAAAAAGTTGAAATATTTAAAGTAAACAATATATCCAATATTGTAAAGTTCACAATTTATATGCCTGTATCTACTTTTTTCACAATTTTCTCCAGAATATTCAGCGGTGCATTTGCAACTGCGCGAATTGTTTCCAGTTTGGGTGCAGATTCCTCCATTTTGACAGGGTTTCTTGGCACATGGGCCCTCTGCGGAATAACGAGAAACACTACTCTAGATATGTTCATCCTTACAGTGGATGATTAAGGCATCTGAGATTAAAAGTAAAAGGAATCTTTTCTAAACCACAGCAAGAAGTTAAAATAAAAAGGATAGAGAGTAGGTCAAACACTGAATTGACTGTTAGCTGAATTCACAGTCCAAATGCATGTACCTATTTCGCAGTTGTCTCCAGAATATCCCCCAGCACATTTGCAATTGTACGAGTCGTTTTGGGTTTCTGTACAGACTCCCTCGTTCAGACAAGGGTTCTTGTGGCATGGACCGACTGCGGTGAAACAAACAAAACACTTCATTAAGCTCCTTTTTACTTCTGTTTCTATGAAATAACTATTTGAGATCAATATTAGCAAAACTCAGGCCGAAGGTATTGATTGTGTTACCCACTGGAGGATTCATAGTTTGACCTTACAAACAAAACCTAGTTGCTCCAAATATGCAGTTGTGGTGCCTCTTCTTATCAATGACGCTTATATCTCGTGCTTAAAAACTGTAATAGACAATGGTGATAGGATCGAATGTAGTCCTTGAAACGGGCTGGTGAAGACTAATCCCTTTCGAGAATTTCGTTATAGTTTTGATACAGCAGAAAAGAAGAAAAGTGTTTTTTGGGGAGGCACGCATGTAAGCCTGCGAATTTCTGTTCCTTACCGCAGTTAGCCCAAGATCGACTGTAGCCTGCCTTGAGTGTACACCACAATTGGCTATGATCGACCATGGTACAGGCGTTGTAAGTCGTTCCTCCGTAGGTAAATGGAAAAGTACAGCAGGCACCTTGGGGATTGTCGGTTCTTCTGCCAGGAGGACATGGCAGCTCTGTGGAAGGACGGAAAAACTTGCTTTACCTTCTGGGTATATTTTCAGAAAATTTGAAAGCGAAATGCGGAGGACGATTACTAGTACATGTATCACCTTTTATAAATGGGTGTCATATATGGGGTTTTAATCCCTTATTCAAAAATAAGGAATAAATTATTGAGAATGTTTAGTTAGACTTCCTCTGTACAAATGGGTCGCCCGACCATCCAGAGCTAACAAAGCACTATTTTAAGTGGATCATAATTCGAAAGTAGTTTAAAAAAAATTAAAGACTTATAAAAGACAATTATCCAGTATTGCATAACACAATTTGTATGATTGTCTGTACTTTTTTCACAGTTTTCTCCAGAATATTCAGCGGTGCATTCGCAACTGCGCGAACTGTTTCCAGTTTGGGTGCAGATTCCTCCATTTTGACAAGGTCTCTTGGCGCATGGGCCTGCTGCAGAGTAACAAGAAGGACTTGTTTAGATACGTTTATCCTTTCGTCTGGATGAATGAGGAATTTCAGACTAGAACTAACAGAAATCTGTTTGGTCGCGAGAAAAGTATTCATTTTCTGCATAACTCCAAAGGTGCAATTTAAAAATTCATATCTTGTGACTTCCCCAAAGTAATGAATACCTTATCTCAAATAAATCACGGCGGAAAAAATTTACCAAGGATAGCAAGTAGGTCCTACACTGAACTGACTGCTAGCTGAGTTTACGGTCATTATGCATGTACCTGTTTCACAATTGTCTCCAGAATATCCCCCAGCACATTTACAGTTGTACGAGTCATTTCTGGTTTCTGTGCAGACTCCCCCATTCAAGCAAGGGTTCTTGTCGCATCGACCGACTGAAGTGGAACAAGAAAATACTTCATTAATTGAGTACCTCCATAATTTTCTTTCTATTTAAAAACTATTTGAGATGAATAGTAATGAGATGAATGATGATTTAGAGTTAAAGCAAACAGACAAGACCTACAATAGTTGCTCCAAATATGTATTTTTTTATATCTCTTCTCGTCATTGTAGCTGCCAAATAGAGTTTTAAAGTGATTATATACTACAATAGTGCTTGTTTTATTTACGCACGCATTTCAACTCTGGACTTTCTCTTCCTTACCGCAGTTAGCCCAAGATCCACTGTAAGCAGCAGTGAGTGAACACCACAATCCGCTATGATCGGCCATGGTACAAGCGTTGTAGGTCGTTCCTCCATAGGTAAAAGGGAAAACACAACACGCACCTTGGTGGTTGTCGGTTTTTTTGCCAGGCGGACATGGCAGCTCTGTGGAGGAACAGAAAAATTTGCTGTACCTTCTGGGTATATTTTCAGATAATTTTAGATGGAATTATAGGGGCGTTTTCTAATACATCTATCACCTTTTATAAGTGGATGTCATAAATGGGGTTTTAATTCCTTATTTTAAAATGAGAAATGAATTATTGAGAATGTTGAGTTAGTTTTCCATTGTACGAATGGCTCGTCCGACCGTCCAGAGCACACAAAGAACTATTTTAAGAGGATCAAACTTCAAAGGTAGTTAAAAAATTGAAATATTAGAGGTAAGAAATATGTCAAATATTGCATAATTCATAATTAATACGCCTGTATGTACTTTTTTCACAATTTTCTCCAGAATATCCAGCGCCACATTCGCAACTGCGGGAATTGTTTCCAGTTTGGGTGCAGATTCCTCCATTTTGACAAGGTTTCTTAGCGCATGGGTCCGCTGCGGAATAACAAGAAACAGCACTAAGTTAGACATGTTCATACTTTTGTTTAGATGAATTAGGTATTTGAGATTTAAAATACCAGGAATCTACCCAGTCGTGACAAAAATATTCATATTCTGCATAATTCCTAAAATGGCAATTTTTAATTCATATCTTGTGATTTCCACTTCGTAATGAATTTCGGATAAATCCCGGCATTACCAATGATAGTAAAAAGGGGTCAAGAACGGTATTGACTGTTATATGAATTCAGAGTTGTTATGTACGTACCTATTTCACAATTGTTTCCAGAATATCCCCCAGTACATTTGCAGTTGTACGAGTCGTTTTTGGTATCTGTACAGACCCCTCCATTTAGGCAAGGGTTCTTGTGGCATGAACCGACTAAAGTGAAACAAGAAAATACTTAGTTAAAGCACCTCCATACTTTTCTCGCTATTTTAAAACTATTGGAGATGAACATGAACAGCAACCTTTTTATTTGTAATAATGGTACATATTTGATGACTGATGATTTATAGTTAAACCCAACAGACAAGACCTAGTTGCTCCAAATATGCAATTTTTGTATTTCTTCTCGTGATTGTTTTATAACGAATATAAAGTACAATGATGCTTGTGTTTTGTTTTTTTTTTACTATGATTTTAACTCGCAGCTTTCTGTTCTTTACCGCAGTTAGCCCAAGATCCACTGTAGGTAGTAGTAAGGGAACACCATAATCGGCTATGATCGGACATGGTACAAGCGTTGTAGGTCGGACAAATAACGAGTAAGAATACTCAGCGATGCTACACAACAAAACGTCTAATAAGTTATTTATCAGTCAACAGATCAAATTGTTTTTTCAGTGCGAGCGAATTTCGCGGATATTTATTTACAATGAGTACGTAACAGAAATATGCGAAGTAGAAGGAAATTGGCGAGTTGTCGTGGTGCTGTTTCTATTTTCTTCAACAAATGATAAAATTTTATCGTCGTCTAACTGCTTATCTTCGTTTGATTTATCTAATAAACTTGGATCAATCTTCGCCAGCCATTCCGACTCTTTTCGTCGTCAGAAAAATAATTTAAATTCTCCGCCATTTTAAAATTTTGTAACTCCAATCCAATCCGTCGCTTGCGCGATGCGAGAAAACCTGTCTAACCAGTTCTCTGGAGTACAAATACCGCGTAATATTTGTGCGCGTCTTAGGCGTTATTTGTACTCTATGTATTATTATTATCCAACAACTCTCTGTAGTTGATGACTGATGATTGATACTTAAATCTACCTGACAAGACCTAGTTGCTCCAAATATGCAATTCCTGTATTTATTCTTATCATAATGATTGTAGCTGATAAATCGTGTTTGAAAACGAATACAAAGTACCATAGTGTTTGTTTTTTTTTGGCATTTATTTCAACTCTCGTCTTTCTGTTCCTTACCGCAGTTAGCCCAAGATGAACTGTAAGTGGGAGTAAGTGAACACCAAAATCGGCTATAATCGGCCATGGTACAAGCGTTGTAGGTCGTTCCTTTATAGATAAAAGGAAAAACACAGCAGGCACCTTGGTGATTGTCGGTTTTTCTGCCAGGAGGACATGGCAGCTCTGTGGAAGAGCAGAAAAATTTGCTTTACCTTCTGGGTATATTTTCAGATAATTTTAGAGGGAATTATGGGGACGTAGTACATGTATTACCTTTTATAACTGGATGTCTTAATGGAGTTTTAATTCCTTATTTTTGAATAAGGAATGAATTATTGAGAATGTTGAGTTAGTTTTCCATTGCGCGAATGGCTCGTCCGACAGTCCAGAGCACACAAAGAACTATTTTAATTAAGAAGATCAAAATTATTCAAAGGTGGTTAAAACATTGAAATATTAAAGGTAAGAAATATATCCAATACTGCATAGTTCACGATCTATATGACTGTACGTACTTTTTTCGCAATTTTCGCCAGAATATCCAGCGGCACATTTGCAACTGCGCGAATTGTTTCCAGTTTCGGTGCAGATTCCTCCATTTTGACAAGGTTTCTTGGCGCATGGGCCCGCTGCGGAGTAACAAGAAACAACACCAAATTAGATATGTTTATATTTATGTTTGGATCAATAAAGTAATTGAAATTAAAAATAACTGAATACTGTGCAGTTGTGACAAAACTATTTATTTTTTCTGCATCATTCCAAAAAAATACAATTCATAATTCATGTGTCATGACTTCCTCTCTGTAAGAATATCATATGTCGGTCAAATCACGGCGGGTAAAATCGTTACCAAAAGTAGAAAACATGGTCAAACATTGAATTTGGCTTCATCAACTGAGTCAAACATTGAATTTGGCTTCATCAACTGAGTCAATCTTGTAAATTGGCCGCCGTAGAGTTCCAAAGTTGACTTTTTGAGTGTCAGCACCTTGTCAGAGTGCTTCTTCGTCATTCACTCTGAGAAAGCGCTAACGCTCGAAACGTCAGCTTTGAAACTGTTAATGGTGGCCGATTTACTCTATCAACTCAGTTGATAAATCCGAGTTACCTTGTTACTCCCATTGACGCAGCACCGCAGTTTCTTTAGAAACCTACCCCCTTTATTCCCACATTAAATTGACTATTAGCTGAATTCAGAGTCGTTACGCATGTACCTATTTCGCAATTTTCTCCAGAATATCCCCCAGCACATTTGCAGTTGTATGAGTCGTTTTTGGTTGCTGTACAGAACCCTCCATTTAGGCAAGGGTTCTTGTCGCATGGACCGACTGTAATAGAAAAATAAAATACTTAATTAAGAAAGAAAGAAGAAAGAAAGTCTTAAGCACTCTCAACAACAAACGTGTCTAGTTACAATGATAAGGTTGAGATCGGACGTCAGCATTGTCAGGCGCCTCTGGCAGCCGCTTCAGTCCATGTAACGATCTCACCTCCCCACCCATCCCACCACAGGGGAGGACATCCACCACACAGTAATCTCGTGCGTGAGAAATTAACGTCTCCTAACCCTAGCCCTGCGGGAGACGGGGCCTACGGTTTATTCGTCCTTATCCGAGAAGACTAGAATATCTATCCATTTCTTGATATTAAAGAAAGGTAGTAAATTCTCCTCAGTTATTTTAAGACCATGAGTATTGGTCCGGCCAGGGCCCGAACCCTCGACCTCCCGCACAACACAATCCGGCGCTCTAACTAATTGAGCTAACTGGGAGGCGGATTAAGGACCTTCTTTCTGACTATGAACTCAGTTTACATGAATATTGGCAGCAACCTTGTTAGTTCTAATAGGAGCATATATTTGATGACTGATGATTTATAGTTAAACCTATTGGACAGTTGCTCCAAATATGGAATTTTTTCTTCTCATCATAATAATTGTAGCTGATAAATCATGTTGTAAAACGAATATATACTACTGTATTGCTTATTTGGGCACACAATTCAACTTGCTGCTTTCAGTTCCGTACCGCAGTTAGCCCAAGATGTACTGTATATAGCAGTAAGGGAACACCACAATCGGCTATAATCGGCCATGGTACAAGCGTTGTAGGTCGTTCCTTTATAGATAAAAGGTAAAACACAGCAGGCTCCTTGGTGATTGTCGGTTTTTTTGCCAGGCGGACATGGAAGCTCTACGGAAGAACAAAAAGATTTGCTTACCTTCTGGGTATATTTTCAGTTAGTTTTAAAGGAAAATATGAGAACGTTTTCTAGTACATCACCTTTTATAACTGGATATCATAAATGGGGTTTTAATTCCTTATTTTTAAATAAGGAATCAATTATTGAGAATCTGAGTTAGCCTTCGATTGTACGAAAGCCTGGTCCGACCGTCCAGAGTTCACAAAGCGCTACTTTAAGAGGAACGAAATTCGAAGGTGGTTAAAAAAGTTAAAACATTAAAACATTAAAGGTACGAAATATATCCAATATTGTATAGTTCACAATCTATATGACTGTATGTACTTTTTTCACAATTTTCTCCAGAATATCCAGCGGTGCATTCGCAACTGCGCGAATTGTTTCCATTTTCGGTGCAGATTCCTCCATTTTGACAAGGTTTTTTGACGCATTGGCCCGCTGCGGAATAACAAGAAACAAGACTAAGTTAGATATGTTCATACTTTTTCTTGGATGAATTAGGTATTTGAGATTGATAATGCCAGGAATCTACCCAGTCGTGACAAAAGCATTCATTTTTTGCATAATTCCTAAAATGGCAATTTTCAATTCATATCTTGTGACTTCCTCTTCGTAATGAAAACCATATTTCGACAAAATCACGGCGGGAGAAAAATTACTAATGATAGAAAAAAAGCGTCGAGCACGGAAATGACTGTTATGTGAATTCCCAGTTGTTATATGTACCTACCTATTTCACAATTGTTTCCAGAATATCCCCCAGCACATTTGCAGTTGTACGAGTCGTTTTTGGTATCTGTACAGACCCCTCCATTTAAGCAAGGGTTCTTGTGGCATGGACCGACTAAAGTGAAACAAGAAAACACTTGGTTAAGCACCCCCATACATTTCTTGAAATTTAAAAACTATTGGAGATGAACATTAACAGCAACCTTTTTATTTCTAATAATGGTACATATTTGATGACCGATGATTTAGAGTTAAACCAAGACCTAGTTGCTCCAAATATGCAGCTATCTTGTGTCTCATCATTGTAGCTGCTAAATCATATTTTAAAACGGATCTAATGGTACTTGTGTTTTTTTTTTGTCTATGATTTTAACTCGCTGCTTTCTGTTCTTTACCGCAGTTAGCCCAATTTCCACTGTAGGTAGCAGTAAGTGAACACCAAAATCCGCTGTGATCGGCCATGGTACAAGCGTTGTAGGTCGTTCCCCTATAGATAAAAGGAAAAACACAGCAGGCATCTTGGCGATTGTCGGTTTTTTGGCCAGGAGGACATGGCAGCTCTGTGGAAGAACAAGAAAATTTGCTTGGTGTTCTGGGTATATTCTCAGTTAATTAAGAAGCGCAACAGGAACATTAGACTACTCGGTGTACCATCCCTATTGTAATGGGCGTCGTTTGTAGGGTTTAATAGAAAATAATTTATTTGGTATGTCTTATCGGTCTTGAATTAGATAAATGGCACGTCACACTGTCCAGAGCACCCATAGCACTATTTTGGGAAGGTCGTTATCAAAATCTAAAGGAGTTCCATTAAAATGAAGTAATATCAATATTGCATGTGTTGCTCATACACAGATTACAATGAATGTGCTTGTACTTTTTTCACAATGTTCTCCGGAATATCCAGCGGCACATTCGCAACTGCGGGAATTGTTTCCAGTCTCGGTGCAGATTCCTTCATTTCGACAAGGTTTCTTAGCGCATGGGCCCGCTGCAGAGTAACAAAAAACAACGCTGATTTAGATATGTTCATCCTTTTGTTGGATGATTGACTAAGAATGGCTATTTGAGGTAAAGAAGAGAATATGAAGTGAGAGAACTTATTCCCTATACACACCCCTATTGCAATGATAATTTTTCAATTTTTTTTTAGTGCACGTTCCTGCGGTATGACTATTTTGAGAACAACAGCTGATTGGTTAGTGTTTTTTAGGTGGAATGTGCTGTGTTATACTGATTTGGTGACCTGTGGTTTGTTCAGTTTGAGATTATAAACCGTTCGTACTCTCGTGGTCCAAATATGCAATTTTTAACTCATATCATGTGGTTTCTCCATTTCCAATGAATACTATTCGTCGTCTGAATCATCTCGGGAAAAAACATGAAGGATAGTAGTAGTAGTAGTAGCAGCAGCAGCAGCAGCAGCAGCAGCAGCAGCAGCAGCAGCAGCAGCAGCAGCAGCAGCAGCAGCAG